AAAACTTTGGTGTTGGTTAGTTTGTTCCAGTCGTTTATTGTTCATGGAAAGAATGAATATTTAGAGCAGTTGTTACGGGTTGCATAGGGTGTTATTGTGCGCTCATGCTTTTGTCGAGTTGCATATCCGGATGAAACGAAAGAACTTCAGAAATGTCTGTCTTGTAATGTCCCTTTACTAGTTGATATAGAAATTTTAGTCTAGATAAACGATTTCTGTCTGTTAGTGTTGGTAGATTAGCTCGAGTTGAAAGTTCCGTAATTGAAGTGCGCCCGAAGCTGTTATAAATAAAACGAATTGCCTTTTTTGTGCTCTTTCTAGCTTGTTGCTATTAGTTTTGGTAAAAGGGTCCCATATAATGGAAGCATACTCCAGAGTCGGTATAACTATTGTTTTATAAGCCAGAAGGCGGACGGAGGGGGTTGAGAGTTTCAATGCTCTTCTGACGAAAGAACAGTTTACGCATTGCAGTGTTAGTTACTGTATTAATGTGTTTCGTCCAATTCAGGTCATCTGTGATCCATAAGCCAAGGTACTTGTAATGTGGGACTTGGGAAAGTTTAGTATAGGTTACTCTTTCTAGCTTGTTGATATTAGTTTTGGTAAAAGGGTCCCGCATAATGGAAGCATAATCCAGAGTCGGTATAACTATTGTTTTATAAGCCAGAAGGCGGACGGAGGGGGTTGAGAGTTTCACTGCTCTTCTGAGGAAAGAACAGTTTACGCATTGCAGTGTTAGTTACTGTATTAATGTGTTTCGTCCAATTCAGGTCATCTGTGATTGATAAGCCAAGATACTTGTAATGTGGGACTTGGGAAAGTTTAGTATGGGTAGTAGAGTACTCGTATTCTAAAGGATTTTTTTATTAGTTATTTGCATAAACACTGTTTTTTCGAAGTTAATAGCCATTTGCCATTCATCACACCAGGAGGACACTTTTTGTAGAGCATCATTTAACACGTGTTGGTTTGCGGGACAGCATATTTCATTATAAAGTACACAGTCATCAGTGTAGAGTTTGATTTTAACAGGTATGCGATCAACAATATCATTAATAAACAGGTAAAAAAGAAGTGGTCCTAGCACTGAGCCCTGCGGAATGCCAGAGTCGATAAGCTGTCTATGTGAGCAGGGATCAGCAAAGACTACAAATTGTTCGCGTTTTGTAAGATATGCAGAAATCTAGTTAACTACTTGGGGATTATTGGTAATTCTACCTATCTTATATGTCAGTTTAGTGTGGGATACTTTATGAAAGGCTTTCGAAAAGTCCATAAAAATAACATCAGTCTGTGTTTTACTATTTATTGATTTGGCAAAGTCTTGTATTGTTTCAACTAACTGAGTGTTTGTCAAATAACTTTTGCTAAAACTATGCTGGAATTTGGTAAGAAGGTTATAGTTGTCTAGAAATTTGCAGATGTGATTGTAAATGATATGCTCCAGAATCTTGCATATTGTACATGTTAATGAAATTGGATGATAGTTTTAACGGACTTCTTATTTCTAGTCTTGTGAACTGGTTTAAGTCCAGCGGTTCTCCAGTCTCTTGGTATTTCTTCATTTTGTAAATACTTGCAAAAAATGACATGAAGATATTTTGACACCCGCTCACCGTACCTTTTCAAGAACCTATTAGGAATGTAATCAGGCCCTGGTGATTTTTGGCATCAAGCCTTAGCAGAAGATTAAATATACTACTTTCAGAAACAATGACATCAGACATCGGTGGTAGGGATGCATGAAACACAGGTGATATACCATTATCTTGGGTGAACACCGATTTAAATTGGTTGTTAAAGGCATGGAAAATTTTTGCACTATTGTGAGTTAGGCGGCCATCAACTTCAAATCTATCAGATTCAGTGGAGTGGGGAGAAATTGAACGCCAAAATTTCTTGAGAGACGTGGTCATAAAGCTTGTCAATGATTCACTGTAATAGCGCTTTTTATCAGCAGCTACTTGGTGTTTAATTTGTAAAGAAAGTTTCGATATTTCTTGCATTATAAATAATGTTCTGTTGTTTGTTAACCTTTTCTTTTAGTGCTTCAGTCGCCTTTTAGATTGCAATGTCTCCCTCGAAATCCATGGGTTCTTACCCTTACAATTTTTTGTAATCTTGGCTACAAAACACTTGATACATTCATTCACAATCTGTTTAAATCTGTCCCAAAGGTGGTGTACATCACAAGGGCTATTGCAGAAATCATAAAATAAAAGAAAAGCAGGTCAATAATTGACACATCATCAGCAAGAGAGAAATTTGGAAACGACAAAATTGTGCGATTATTGTTTATATAAGTATTAGCTAGAGTAAGCAACCCGGCCTTGTGGTATGAAATTCCCAGAACAACTTCACATTAACTTTTGGCACTAATGGATTCACTTATTAGAAAGAGATCTAGTACTGATTTGCGATTTTCCTTGGATTCTAGTGAAGTCTGTTACAATTTGAAAGAGGTCAAAAGTGAACGCAATGTTAGCATTGCTGCTCCCAAGTGATCATTCTGATTATTGAGCGAGAAATTCTGCCAGTCTATATTCGACAAGTTGAAACCTCCAGCCGAAATAACTTTGTCACCAGGTTTTATATTCGAATGTAGATAATCCTTTAACGATTGTAACATATCGATAGACGAGTTAGGGGGTCTTTCATGATCATCATCAGCCTGACTACGTCCACAAAGGCCTCTCCCATGTTCCGCCAGTTAACCCGGTCCTGTGCTTGCTGCTGCCAATTTATACCCGCAAACTTCTTAATCTCATCTGCCCACCTAATCTTCTGTCTCCCCCTAATTCGCTTCCCTTCTCTGGGAATCCAGTCAGTTACCCTTAATGACCAGCGGTTATCCTGTCTACGCGCTACATGCCCTGCCCATGTCCATTTCTTCTTCTTGATTTCAGCTGTGATATCCTTAACCCCCCTTTGTTCCCTAATCCATTCTGCTCTCTTCTTGTCTCTTAAGGATACACCTACCATTTTTCTTTCCATTGCTCGCTGCGTCGTCCTCAATTTAAGCTGAACCCTATTTATAAGTCTCCAGGTTTCTGCTCCGTAGCTAAGTACCGGCAAGATACAGCTGTTATATACCTTCCTCTTGAGGGATAGTGTCAATCTACCTGTCATAATTTGAGAGTGCTTGCCGAATGGGCTCCACCCCATTCTTATTCTTCTAGTTACTTCAATCTCGTGGTTCGGCTCTGCGGTTATTACCTGCCCTAAGTAGACATAGTCTTTTACAACTTCAAGTGCACTATTACCTATCTCGAAACGCTGCTCTTTGCCGAGGTTGTTGTACATTACTTTCGTTTTCTGCAGATTAATTTTAAGACCCACCTTTCTGCTCTCCTTGTCTAACTCCGTAATCATGAGTTGCAATTCGTCCCCTGAGTTACTAAGCAATGGAATGTCATCGGCAAAGCGCAGGTTACTAAGGTATTCTCCATTGACTCTTATCCCTAACTGTTCCCATTCTAGGCTTCTGAAAACCTCCTGTAAGCACGCGGTCAATAGCATTGGGGAAATTGTGTCCCCCTGCCTTACACCCTTCTTGATTGGTATTCTGTTGCTTTCTTTATGAAGCACTATGGTAGCAGTTGATCCCCTGTAGATTTCGTCCAGAATGTTTATATATACTTCATCTACGCCCTGATTCCGCAGTGTTTTCATGACGGCTGATATTTCTACTGAATCAAACGCCTTCTCGTAATCTATGAAGGCTATGTATAGTGGTTGGTTATACTCTGAGCATTTCTCTATTACCTGATTGATAGTATGAATGTGGTCAATTGTTGAGTAGGCTGTTCGAAATCCTGCTTGTTCCTTTGGTTGATTGAATCCTAATGTTTTCTTTACTCTGTTAGCAATTACCTTTGTAAAAAGCTTGTACACTACAGAGAGCAAGCTGATCGGCGTGTAATTTTTCAAGTCCTTGTCATCTCCTTTCTTATGTATTAAGATGATGTTAGCGTTCTTCCAAGACTCTGGTACTCTTCCCGTCAGGAGACACCTCGTAAACAGGGTGGCTAGTTTTTCTAACACAATCTGTCCTCCATCTTTCAGCAGATCTGATGTTACCTGATCCTCACCAGCAGCTTTGCCTCTTTGCATGCTCTCCAAAGCTTTTCTGACTTCTATCATTATTGGTGGGGTGTAATCTGGGTTAGTGCTAGTTCTTATAGTATTAAGGTCGCGGTTGTCTAGGCTACTGTACAGATCTCTGTGAAACTCCTCCGCTATTTTAACTATCCTATCCATATTGGTAGTTATTTTGCCTTCTTTGTCCCTTAGTGCATACATCCGACTTTTGCCTATCCCAAGTTTCCTCTTCAATGCTTTAACACTTCCTCCGTTTTTCAGAGCGTGTTCAATTCTCTCCATGTTATACCTTCTTACATCGCATACCTTACGTCTATTAATCAACTTCGAAAGCTCTGCCAGTTCTATTTTGTCTGTTGTACTTGACACTTTCATGATTTGACGCTTCTTAATTAGGTTCTTCGTTTCCTGGGAAAGCTTGCCAGTGTCCTGTCTTACTACCCTGCCTCCAACTTCCACTGCACACTCCGTAATGATACTCGTCAGATTATCATTCATTGTATCTACGCTAAGGTTGGTTTCCTCACTAAGTGCTAGCTGATTGATTGGCTTCTTGCGTATCAGTTTCTGTCGTTCCTTCTTCAAGTCTAGGCGAATTCGAGACCGTACCATTCTATGGTCACTACATCGGGGGTCTTTACACGACTGCTACTTGATATTTAACCTTACCGTGGTACGCTTTGCAGAATATGCACTCAATGTCAGTCAAGTCAGACATTCTCACTATACGCAAACGTTTTTTGAAAAGAATGCAAGCACCTCCTCCTTTGCTGCCTCGGTCTTTTCGAAATATAGTATATCTGGCAGGAATAAATAAATAAATAAGCTGGCTTAATTTATGTTATGACTCCATTTTTCTGCAAGAGCAGTTCAATTGTTTCTATTCTGTTTTCTTATAGCATGCCTGGAAATGTATTTCAAGCACACCACATGGGGCCAGCTGTGCCACTTCAAGAAAACTGCTTCGTTCTCATCTGCAAGCCTCAAAGAAGTTACCGTATGAAGCAAGCCAGCGGGGCATATAAGTTGGGTACCACAGCAAAAGGAACAAATAAACACGTCTTTTTTGCAAGAAACATAATTGATTTTGTGCTGCAGCAACATGTGGCTGCATGCTTGGCCACATATACACACAGACAAAAAAGCTTGTTAACATCGGTGGTGCGAGGTTATCTGTAATCAAGTTGTCAAGTGTAATGTCTTTTTAATTAATGAATGAATCGGGCTTCCAACACTCATTATTATCTACCAGCCCTTCCCTGGCATATACCAAGAGTAGTCCACCAGTCATCTCCCCACCACACTCATCGTCCTCCATCTGTCCACCACCTACCCACCGTCTGTCTGTCATCCGTCCACTGCACCACCATTTGCCCACCACTCTCATAGTCTTTCATTTGGCCACCATTCGCCCAACTTCTGTCCATCATTTTCCATCACCGTAATCCACCAAGATGGTGGGTCCCATTATGCCCATCATCTGTCCACCATTCCTACCGTCCGCCATCTGCCCAGTATGCCCACCATCAGCCCACAACTCCCACCATCTGCCCACCATCCGTCCATCATTACCCGTTACAATAATCCAACAAGATGGTGGGTGGTGGGCCCCATGAAGCCAACAGTTGAGCAAATTTTCAACAGAGCTTTGTACTTTGGCCAAACCAAGCAGTTTTGCTCATTGTGAAAGTTGTAGTCTGTATTATACTATACAATTCATTTTTCGAAATCGGTAAAGAAACAGTAACGTATTTATGATGTGCTTGTCGTGCTGCTTCATCAGCAGCTGTGTTTTCAGGAATGTTGCAATGGCCAGGTATCCACAGAAATTTGATCTCATTTTGCGCCTTGTTTGCTTTAGTGAGCTCTTCCAGCGTTTCGTATGTCATACTATCACTTATGACTATCTTGTTTGTACTGGAGAGTGATCCTAATGCGGCCTGTGAGTCACTGAAAATTACCAATTTTCTTGCATCTGCTGTCGGGTTTATAAACTTTATAGCATACAAATTAGCGAAAAGCTCAGCTGTAGTAGATGGCATTATGCAACATAATTTTATTGATTCCTGAATATTGAGCTGTGGTACAATAAATGCGGATGTTGAAGACATTGTAATACTTGAGCCATCTGCGTAAATGTGTATGTACCCTGGATACCGCACATGTAGCTGATAAAGTGCTAGTTGTTGAGCAGCTTGGATGAACATGTCTCTCTTTCAGATGCAATCCACTGAGAACTAAATGTCTGGTATTGCAAGCAGCCATGGAGGATAGTTGATTTGAGAGCTCCAAAATTCATTTTTTGGTAATATATATACAATACTCTGTATTTCTTCATGAGCATTGCTTTATCCCTTTGTAAAATCTCGGGTGTGAATGGGTGGTTTTTGTGTTGCGTTTGTCAGCGAGTAAAATGGTGCTATGCTTTGATTTTTATCATGACTGGAAAGGGTGGCTGTCGAGTCACTGCTATAACAAGGCTGCTGGATGCCGCTCATGCAACACCTAGGCAGACGCGCAGTCCCCTAGCTAATAGTCTTTGAAGTCGCTCCTGTGAAGTGCGGGAAAGGCCGTGAAAGACTGTTGCAGAATATGCAACTTTTTGACGTAATTAAGCATTGGGAACAGTGAGCATGGATTATGCAGTTCCGCCCCACGATTTCGCAGCAATGCTGTGGAGTATACTAACTAGCATATTCACCTCGTATTCGAGTTTATGCGAGGTGCCCGTGATAGCTGCCTATCAAGTATTACTCGGAGAAACATATGCTGTGTCACAATCATTAGTGGTTTTCCTTCTAAATTAAGAAATCACTTTTCTTAACTTCTCACGGGTGAAGGGCAATACAGCTGTCTTTGCGTGTGATGGAACGATTCCTCTTTCTTTTAAAAAGTTGGTAAGATTTATGCCATCTTGCAATGCAATATGAATTAACCGAACGTTCGTGCCAGATGTCCAAGTGCACACATCATCTGCATTTAAACAGTATTTCAACCTAGAAGGCAGTCTTTTAGCTTGATCAGCCATAACACACTTGAAAAGAAAAGGGCTAAGTTCGCTTCCTTGTGGCACACTCTGTCTGACGTCATGTTCCGCACTCTGTCATTCACTCGTCTGAATAAATATTTTGCGACCTGATAAAAATTTAAATATCCACCGCAAGGAGCTGCCGGACAGTCCGAGTTCCAACATACTCAGCAGAACATGACTGCAACTGATTGTGTCAAATGCCCTATTGATGTCTAAAAACACTGTGACTGTCAAACTACCACAGGCGCGTTCATGCTCCACATACGTTACTATGTCTAGTATTGCGTTCATTGTGCATCTCTGTTTTTTAAAACCTGTTAAGTAGTTGAAGAATACACAGGTTCTGTTCCACCACCACTGAAGCCGTGCGTCAATTATTTTTCGCTTTACTTTACATAGACATATTCTCATACTAATTGGGCGGAAGGTTTCCAGGCTCAAAGGCGTCTTAGTCAGCTTTAAAATCGGTATAATGCGAGCAAACTTCCAAAATTCAGGTACAATTTCTTGCGTCCAATGATTAGTGTAAATGTCTAAGAGAATAGTTTTGCTTGTTGGCCCAAGGTTCTTTAGCATAATGTACGTAAAGCCGTCTGGTGTAGAGGCCGATTTTTGTCGACATAATGCTATAGCACACTGCAGCCCACTTAACGTAAATATAGGGTCTAGTTGAGGATGCTGTGCCCAAAAGCAAGCATTAATTTTTTGGCTGGCTAACATGACAGAATTGTCAAATAAGGCACATTGTGATGTGGCGGCCTTACTGGGGAGTTGAGGAAATTCTTCTACTACTATAACTACCCGTTTGTTCAAGGCTACAGCAAGAGCACAAAATAAATAACTGTAATACAGGGCCACTAAATGCTCGAATTACAAGCCAAATTCTTGCAGCAGGTGTGGGAAGAAAGCGTGACACAAAAATCATGCGAGCGCTGTTTACCTGAATTTTCTATACGTCTGAATATTACACTGTGGATTTCTGTGTATTTTTGTATGCTTCTAAACTTCCGCTGCGTCGATATTCCCTTTCTGAACATCGTCTGATGGCTCTTAGGTGTTCATACTCTCTGTCGACTGCAGCGTAGATTTTTGGAATCAGGACTTTTTCCTGTACATTTATTCACATTATCTTGCAGAAATTCAGTAAAGCTTTCAACTGTCATAAGTTCACTATTTTGGTTTGTTGGGCGGAACCGAAAAACTTTCCAGTTCGTCAGTTTGCCGCAGTGCCTGATGTCGTCATTTCGCAAGTAGGGGTGATTTATAAGAATGTGAAAATGGTCAGTCCCACGTGTTTCTACATTCATTGTCCATCTCACACCATTCACTTGATCTTGGGAACACATGGTTACATCGATGCAACTCGAGTAATTATGCCCTCGAAGAAAAGTTAGGGAGCCGTCATTTAAAATTGTCAAATTGCATTTGTCTGCGGCACACTCAACAATGTTCCCACGTGCATAACATCGATCACTACCCCGGATTATGTTGTGCGCATTAGTCTCCACATATAAATGTATATGAAGTAGAAATATTGAAGATATTTGTTAGCTTTCAAGCCACCGAAATGCGGCTTGAAAGTTGTCGGTAAAAAATGATCTCTGTTATTGTTATGCACTGCTCACTAAAGGATGATTTGCAAGCGAAAAATTCAGGGAAGTCCGAATCACTTGAGCGAACTTGGTGAGAAAATAGGTCCTGTCTGATGCACAAATGCACTTTGCTAAAACCACTTCAACGAGATGGCTTATATATCGCGTAGTTAGAGAGGTTGAAATCATCATTCATTCCTGCCTCTTATATGCAAAGTATTGCAAAGTTATATTCAAAAAAGAGTTTACGCAAGTCAGCACACATCCTTTGAAGATTATTGGCATTCCACTGGTATATGTAGACATTTCTATAGTGCTTATTCATATGTTACTTGTCGCAGGTTTGTCCCGGATTGTTGACACAATAGTGCTTCCAGAGGCAGCAGGGCATTAACTTCTTGCAGCTTGTATGCTTCCGGTAGAGCAGACTGGATTACCTGAAGTGCTGCGATGAGCATTGGTAGAATCGATTGTGGGACTGAAGCAGAGGTACGGTCCCTATTGAATGGTTCAGTTTCGGAGGCCTGTTGAGAACGAAGTGGCGTTTCGATGTTGTAGCCTGGGCGAACACTGGTGCTGTCGGTTCTGCTGCTTTCCGGCTGAGGTTGCGTGGGCGTTCACAGCTTTGACGCGTAGGTTGGGTTACTTGAATGTATTTCTCGTGAGTGGTCTCTCGAGTGTGCTCTTGGGGGTTCTCTTGGCATGTTTGTTGGCTGTTGTTGTTGCGGTGTGCGCTGAGGTACATCACATACAGGATGAACAATCTCAAGGTTTGGAAAAGGTTCATTGGGGCGTGGTTTTCTTCCATAGATATGCTCATTTCGACGCATTTTTCAACAGCTTTACTTTGCAGGCAGCATGAATATGAGGCAGCGTGATTACCTGCACAGTTTGCACACTTAGGCTAAAGAACTGACTTGCACTGCTTATGGTGGTGTTCTTATGAGCAGATCTTACACCGGCGTGTGTTACGGCAACTCTTCATCATGTGTCCGAATCCCTGGCAGTTATAGCATCGAAGTGCTGGACCGAGATATTCTTCCACTGTTTGACGGGTGAATGTTAAATAGATTCTTCTTGGAGTCAGGTGGTCATCTCGAAAATTCAGAATCACTGAGGGAAGTGGACACGACGTTACTGCTTCATCTTTCTGGCGGGAATATTTCATTTGCCACCCCGACGATAAAACCGCTGCATCTCTTAAGTACTCCAGGAGTTGTTCGTCTGAATACTGCAGAGGCACATGCTTTACTTTCCCAACGTTCCTACTGTATGACTCTGGGAAAGGCTTAACTCCCAGGGCGCCTACATTCGAAAGCATGAGAAGACGCTTGGCTGAAGCTAAGAAAGCAACACTGACACTGAAGCTTTCTTTTCAGTCGTTTTGAATGACTGCTCTTGAACGCAAATGTTCTTGTTGAAGAACATTTGCGTTTGGAACCCTAATATTGCGCTATTGTGGTCATCTCTGCAAAATCCATTGTTTTAGACTGTGTTATTTTGACTCTTCCACACTGTAATCATTTGGATATAATACAATTACTGTTAGAACTTTGTTGTTAGAATTTGGTTAGAATTTGTTTGAATTTGATTGTTAGAAATTGTGAGAACTTGGTAGCATCAATGTAACGCGTATCTTAAACGATGTATAACTTACGGATGTTTTTATTGTGTGCTTTTATTGTGTGTTTTCCCGATGTCCTTTCTGCGAAAATCCCGACAAGGGATTGGCAGTATTTTTAAATAAATAAATAAATAAATAATTAAACAATATTTGAAAACACAAAAATAGTCTAACTCCAGGCAACAGTGCATAACATGCATTTGGTCGCGCCGTAATTACGTGTTCCGGCATATTTTTAAACTCGGACTCAACTTACGTAGAACACCCTGTATATGTGAAGCTAGCGAAAAGACCGCGAGACCACCATGAGTGTGGCATGTAGCCAAGTTTTTGCATGACACGTATGCCCCGCCGAGATGGTCTAGTGGCTAGGGAACTCGGCCTCTCACACGAAGATTGTGGGATCAAATCCTTGCTGTGGCGGCTGCATTTTCGATGGAGGCGAAAATTCAGTAGGCCCGTATGCTTAAGATTTGGGTGCACGTTAAGGGACCCCAGGGCGTCCGAATTTCCAGAGCCATCCACTACGGCATCTCTTATAATCATATGGTTTATTTTCGACGTTCAACCCCACATATCTATTATATGACACGCATCGCATGATTGTCATATTTGTCAAGATGGTGCAATGAGCGCGCGTCATCACATAGTCACGACGCAGCGACGCGCCCTCGTCTCTGGCGCGTACTTTTGCCCGTGTAGAAAATAAGTGTCAGTGGATGATCGGGTGCGCGGCATTATCTTGCATTGGGGAGGATCGAACGTTTCGGCTAGTCTTTAGGTTTCACCGAAACAATTCTGTTATAGTTACCGGATGCACAAAGATCACAGTATTCGTTGCGCAGTCTCCGTTTGTGAAAAAGTGTGCTTTTCAGACACAGCCAAAGAACAACTGAGACGCTCATTCGCGTTCATCTGTACCTTTGAGCACGCTTCGTGCAATATTTGTGCGTAAGAAACGCGGGGCATGTTTCGATCTGCTTGCCATTTTGCGCGTGGCCTTCCAATTCATCGCTATCGCGGTCAATTCATCACCTTTGCGGCAAAGCTGTTACTTTTATTCACTTTGACGCCTGATGATGTACCGCAATTTAAGCAATGTGACTGCAGTATTGGCAGGATTAGCGGTTCCATTCCTTGGAATTTGCAAGTTGTTCTTATTTTAAATGTCTTGAGCACTATTTATTATATTGTCAAACCTGCGAGTTTCTGAAAGCCCGTCTTCTCGACCAGCCGATAGATATCACACCCAGATGACAGCAATCGAGCAACTGAAACTATGCCCGTAAAAGCGAGATGGTAAAGTAAAAGAAGACAAAACTGTACTCATCCTTCTTTCTTCTACTTTGGTGACTTCTCCCCAGCGTACCTTTTCATCTAAAATAGCGTCTTATCATTTTGCCATCCAGCACGTGTTTTTCATGTTCAGTAACCTCAGAGGTTTGCTCAGAAGACATGAATTCAGTGCCGAAAAAATAAGATTACGTCAGAACACCCTCTTTTTACTTTTAATTTCTGTACACCAGAATCAAAATGATTCATTCATATTTTGTTATCTGGCAGAGTCATTGTTGCCTTTCTCAACCACGCTTTTTGTTGACTTTCTTCAGAGCTTTGTCCACCTCAAGACCGACGCCAGTCGACACACCAGCGGTGACAGCAGCTGCTATGAGTGCCTTAAACAAGATTATGAAAAAGTACTGCTCTGTATCATTTGGGTCCAAGATGGAAGTGTCAATAGCCTTTAAGGCGTTGACAATGTTCTCTCGATCCTCAGCATTGGCGATGGATAGTTTGCTCTGTAGAAGCTGTCCAATCGTCTTCATGGAATCGCCAGCTTTCGCAATAAGTGCAGCCTCGTCCTCTGCATAGAAAAAGTGTTATCATGAGTACAACGTACTCATCATGAGCGAGATATTTGTTCACCATCATTCTGGCAGTCACGCCTAAAAATTAGTGACTTGTAAAAATAAAGTTGTTTCGAGGGAAAGTCTGTTCCTGTTCAAACACATAGTCCCCAAGTTAGTATGAGTGTTTGATCACGTACCCACTGCAAAACTTTGAGATTATATTCACATCTCCAATCAATAACTTACATGACAGAAGTAATTAGTTTTGTTGAAGTGGTTTGCACAAGTTTCATTATCAACTGTTAGCGCCCAGCCACAACTACTCCACTTCTCTAAGGTTCAAACCTAGACTTTTTTATTTTTACTTTTGTCATCTGAAACGTCATGAGGTATGACACCTTCAATATCCTTTCCTGCATGAGAACCTTAAACACATATTCAGAATTTTTTGTCTTAATAGCCAATATCATGAAGAAAATAACAGAAAACATGGGAATCAAAATTTTTTGGTTACATTGCTCAAAGGATGCCTTTATTTAACAAACAATTATGGACATGATTGAAAATGTGAAGCATGGTTAGGCTGTCTTCTATAAAAACTAATGCTACACTGAATAAATATGAGATATTACCCTCCTAAACTTAGTTTCCCAAACCTTATAATTAGTTGATAAGTAATTATTTCACAAAAAGTTAACTTAGCTTTGATTTTTCTTACTTTGGCATGCTTGACATTGATAGGCTGCACAGCTTAGCAAAAAACATGCAATGTGCTTCACTCTGCTTTATCAAGAAATAGTTAGGGTACGTCTTCAGGTATATAGCTAGGTTGATTGTTCATGATGAATCAGTGCTCGTTAATAATGCAATAGCGTAAAGAGCTCGTTTCGCGAAAATTCCGGAGTTAATGTTGGCGTTGTTGTTTGTGAGAAAAAAATTATCATCTTATGCGTGATAGAAAAATCGAGAACTGTGTGAATAAAAAAAAATTATGCAAAATCCTGGCTCAAAGTGGTCACCGAACCAAGGTCATTTGAGTCTGAGTGGCGATCGAACCCGGGTTATTTGCATGGTGAGCGTATTTAAGTTCTACCACACGGTCACGCGCATGTCTGTGAGTAATATGAAAAGAAGTTCATCAGCTAGTAAATGCAGTGAAGCTAGCTTTTATGCTTTACAAACACACATCGTTCTCTATACGTGCTTCACAATGCAACATGAACTATTGCAGTAATATTGCATGCTATAAGCGTCAATTGCCGGCTGGCGTCAGAAGCTGTAATTATCATAATGACTCTTTTGTTTTAAGCCAGTCACCCACTACAAAAGGCTACTGCGCCCATTACCTTTGGGTCTCGTAGTAAGTGCATAGACACTCCGAAAATGTTTCATTCAGTAAGTGTTTGAAGTGGGCAATACGAAGAGATTATTGCTATCGCCTACAACTCCTAGAGGCGAAGCTTCAGAGTACTATTCGTTTGACTGCTCCATGCCACTTTCCCGAACTTACAAGTGATCGCTTCAGTGCTGCGTCATGTATTGCGCTTTAACCGAAGTATAGTCACTCAACGTACATGTATACTTCGGAAAATATAAAAATATTCAGATGATAGAAGTTAAGCTTCACTGAATGAGCGTAAGGTGTATTGGAGAGCCTAAAGCAAAGAGATAATTTTTACACATCAGGAGGAATATTCTGCATCTATAAATTATCTAAACCCTATTTAAGAACAAGAAAAGAAAAACACTTAGCACGCTATTTTCATTTAGAAGCTTCCACGAAGGCTTACAACTCGCTTTGCGTGAGGCGCATTTCACGACACTCACAACACAAAAATGTTACCCTGCCACATTTCCGTTATCAAGTTTACATTGTTTTGCAGATAACGACCTCAAGATACAAGTACATGATGACACAAATTGTTTTAAGCACAATGCCGGCGAAGGAGCTTGCCCGTGAAGTTCGTTAATAGTATGTTTTCACATTTTCGAAAATAACAATAAAGTTTAAATTTTAGCGTGTATACAAAAGAAAACTTAGCTTTAAGGCGTACAATGTATACGGAAACAATTTGATCAATGAAAAACTTCACGATAGAGCAAAAACTGTTTTGGGACAACCTTTTATTGGCCTTTGGTCTGACACGGTGGAATACTTTTGTACAAAGAAATTGTGGTATAAAATAATGGTGGACTTCCAAATGTAGGATAAACGTCACAGATTATTGCACGCATGCTCAATTAGTTTGGCTGAGGAGTGTGCATGACCGAGGCTCATCTCGAGGACTGAGAAAGGCTATGGCAATCGCTTCTCAGAACCACACAAATGATCTAGCGAGAATTGTGATGTGACGTAAGAGCGCTATTGCATTCCCTGTTAAGGTACTTCTTGTATACCTTAAAAACACGTCATTTATAACATGAAGTGCTGTCTTTGTGAGCAGCCACTCATATGTTTATTAGTGCACAAAATCTTACCTTTCCGAAGACCATGGTCTTGAGCTTCCCTGGCAGGTAGTCTGAAAATAATTTTTTTCTTCAGTCATCATAAAGCAAGGAGGACATTGTTTCTGATTGCTCAAAAGTATTTCGGCATACTTACATTGATGCTGCGTCTGGAGACAGGTAGCCGCATGAAAAAAAAAAAAAGCAACCAGGATGTCAGATGTGACAATTAGGCTTCGGTTTTAAAGTACATGTAGAAAACTGTTACACTAGTGCCCTTGTTCAATGTTTTGTACTGTACCTGGTACTGTATGCTGGTAAGTGTACAGTGCTGAACCTTTGTAATAGCCATTGAACATGTTTCCCTAAACGTTAGGTGCGCCAACGTAGTTGCGTTGGAATAATATAGGTCAGTAAAACGCGTTCACAAATCATTCGTCTTCACTACTGTCGCCATAAGTGCGCTTAATAACACGAAATTGCTTTACGCCAATTTCGTACCGAGAAAATGCTCACGTCATTTCCTCCACAAATGTGACATAAATAAAAAGCATGTATCAAGCTCACGGAGAAATTCATCGAAGTCAGACAGTGGAATTGAACCTCCAACTTCGCAGTTTTCACATCGAAGTGGAATGTGCTAAGCATTTTGTCACAAACCAAACTGGTTTATGTGAACCAACACGTTATATATTACCATCAATTTGACAAAGGTAAAATTTAGGTGCGGTGCGGTGATTTCTTTGCCGCAGTGTGGTGTGAGAATATGGGCAGGATGCGGCACTGTACTGGATGGCTTGGTTGAACCAGTGTGAAATGGAGCGCGTTCGCTCGTTGCAAGCACACCGTGCGAACTGTGTTTCTTGCATCTGTGAATCTGAAAGTATCGCAACATGCAGGGCTGCCCGAAGTGGCAGGACGAGATTTATGGGCGGAATCGAAGAAGTTATTGGCAACATGGGAACACACACACTCATAAGCCTGTATAAGTGGTGCTGGTGCAACAGACTATGAGCAAAGTGCGCTTAAGCTTGTCCAACCTAGCTTCATGTACCCTGCACTACTGTGTGTTACATAAAAAATTCAGTAGATCGCACGTTCCTTGGGAATCGATGTTATCTGAAGCATGTGGACCGAAGGTGACCCGTAATATTTCTATTGAGCAAAACGTTACGAAACAACGCTAAATATATGTACAAATGGTTACGCACAGACTTATGTTGACAACACCCCAATGTTTTTTTTATCCGGTCATATCCTCTTGCGTAACGATGCCAACAGCAACACTGAATTACCGATTCCAGAAGCAGTAAGCTTGTGTATAGCACTGGTGCTTGCGATGGTGGTAGCCCTGGCTAGTGCAATATGTACACCAACTTTAGTGGCTGGCACTTGAAGGGGCCCTGCTAAACTTTTTAAGCATGGTCAGAAAGCTCCGCCGATCAGTAGTAGAGGCTCCCGACAACACGCGAGCCAAATATTATAGGACAGCACGTGGTCTGGAATTCACAAAAAGTTTTCAAATTCAGCTAAAAATTGCTTTCTCTTCTCTCGGCAAATGGCAGAAAATGCCCAAAAACACACGTGAAGTACCCATCTATCAGTCATTGGCTGATTTGAACATGGCGCGCTTGCTGGTTACAGATATAACCGCGGGAGGCCGCGACTTGTCCACGCGTGCGCGCACGATGACACCGAGAAAGCGGCGCATTCGAAGAAAAAAGTTCTCAAGGCCACGAGGCTTGTGTGACGTTTTCTCGTGACCTTGTCATCCCTCCCTGATTAGCTTCTAGTGCTTTCGTCGGGACGAGAGAAGAGATAACGCAATTGCAGCATGTGACAAACCTTTGTAACTCCACTCGCCCTGAACGGATTCGTAAAATTTTTGCGGTATTGAATGCATGAGACAAGCTTTTCCAGTGAATTCATTCCGTGGTTACTTGAAAAAGCGTTTCAGCGCCCCTTTACCTACAATTCACATTAACCCTACTTGACGCCTGTATCATAGGAGCACATAAGTAATGCATATAAAATTAGATAGCCAGAACTGCAACCACAACTGACTTTTCACAAACATTACTCTTGTATAGGGTCTGTTTCCAAAGCAGATTCGATGCCTGGCGTGGTCCTGATTGATTGATTTGTGAGGTTTAACATCCCAAAACCACCATATGAATATGAGAGACGCCGTAGTGGAGGGCTCCGGAAATTTCGACCACCGGGGGTTCTTTAACGTGCGCCCAAATCTGAGCACACGGGCCTACAACATTTCCGCCTCCATTGGCGGGGTCCAGTGGTAGGATACTTGATAGCCACGTAAAAATCTTTCGTTCGATTCTTGTTCGGACCATAAAATATATTCTTTGCAATTGTTGGGTCAATGCTGCCGATATCGGTTTCCCTTAGGGCTCTCGCATATAATTTACCAATGTTTGTTATCACGTTCTACAGTAGATGAATTGTCAAACACATGTGGCACATATCCGCTCGTTGTATGTATATTCTTTTGTTTTTTTCTTCGGCCTTTCTTTGCGAATGAAACAGTTTCAAATACGAAGCATTTAATCGGTTACTGCGCGCACTTCTGGCGTTTATCTATCTATCTATCTATCTATCTATCTATCTATCTATCTATCTATCTATCTATCTATCTATCTATCTATCTATCTATCTATCTATCTATCTATCTATCTATCTATCTATCTATCTATCTATCTATCTAGGGGCTCACGTGATCTGGGGGATCACGCGATCACCCCATAATAGTACTTGGGAGAAAACTGGTATGACTAATTAGAGTAACTTGCCATGACAAGAACAATGTCACAATTCTGTTGCATGCGTCGTCAAACACTTCCTGCCAAACAGTGGCACATACTCGCGGGCGAGTTGGCGCCACTGGTATGTGGGTATATGCCATACGTGATTTACAGTGCATATGTACCTATAAACGGCGGAACACACCTGCGTAATTTTAACGCGTGAGTGTTAAGTATAAGCTGACATCGGCTGCGTTGACTCTACTAATGTAAACAAGGAATGCCAGGGTCTCATCAGGAATAGAACCCAGTTTTCTTCGTGGCAACTGAATATTCCACCACAGAGCCAAACCAGGTCTCAGAACTGCTTTTGAAATAGACCGTAATCTTCGTGAAGCGTCCCTTGGTGATGCAGTGATGGTTATCTATTTTTAATGCACTAGCGTCAAACAACTCATTTCACAGAAATTGTGGTTTTGGTGTCAGGGTCGGCATTGGTGTCGTTGGTTGTGAGCGAAAAAACACTCATCTTATGCGTGAATAAAACATTGAGAGCAATACAAAGAAGATAATACTTGATAAAAAATCCAGCAGCGGAGCGAAGTCTACAACTGTGTTGTTTGGGTAATAGTGGGAATTGAACCCTGGCTGTTTACGTGGCAAGCGGATGTTCCACAACACATCCACGTCCGTGCTCGGGAAAACAGTGAAAAGAACTTCCTCTGTTTGGAAATTCAGTGAAAGTAGCTTACATGCTTCACAAACACACGCGTTCTGTATACATGTTTCGCAATGCAACATCAAAATATTGCAGTAATAATGCGTGGTACAAGCGTCCGTTGTCAACGGGTGTCAAAATATGTGATTATTATAATGGCTACGTGTTTGAAAGCTGGTACCCCACTAAAAAGGCACGCACACTGCTGCGCCCATTACCTTAAAGCCACGTATAGTGGCTGTATAGCCAATTTGAAAAGGTTTCATTTACTAAGTTTTAAGAATATGCACGAGAAACAGGATGTCGCCATCACTTTCAACTCCTGAAGACGAAGCTTTAAGGTCCCCTACTTTTTTTTAAATGCGAAGCATTTCTTAGCCAACTTAGGCGACTTTGAGCGTATTTATCTATCTATCTAGCTACTTAGGCTCTCATGGTCACCCCCTTAACATGGCGTGAACCAAAATTTGCATGGGAGGGTAAGATAGTTTGACGAATACGACGCACTGTTCAAGACATGAACTATGACACAATCCTATAGCGTACGTCGTCAAACGCGTTCCACCAGACAGTGGCCGTGCCTACGTGCGGGTATGTGCCGCTAGTATGCGCTACTTAGTATATACACTCAGGAACAACGAGAGCACACATGGGCAATTTAAACGCGCCAGCGTTAAGAAATACCCAACATCGGTAGCGTCGCCCCGACGAATACAAAGAATAAATGTCAGGGTTCCAGCTGGAATCAAACCCAAGCATTCTGCATGGCAATGAAGCATTTTACCCCAGAGCTAGGCCAGGCCTTGGAACTGCTTTTCAAATAGACGCTAATTTTCGTGAGACGTCAAAAGTAATTGCTTTGCTGCCTACCCAATTTCATAAGCATTAGATATGTACTCCTTTGATACTGCCACACGTCGGCTTAACATCAGTTGTGGTTAGTTGCCTAGCGCTGAAGTTTATTTATGTAGCAGTGTCCAGGGCCAGCATTCTCGCGAGTATCAGCACTTCATATAAGCTTCTGGTGTTGTTGATATGCATGTTCTAGTGGACATCGTTGCACAAGTGCAAGCAACTGGCTATATAAACATCTGCAGATCTTCAAGATATTTCTGGGCGTGCAACATTTGTACATATACTTAGCGTCATTTCATGACGTGTCGCTCAATAAAAAAAATGCAGCCCGGTCACCTTCCCTCCGCATGCTTCGCATAACGTCGATTGCCAGGTACGTGGGATCTGCCGAATTTTTCATACATTACATATGTGCTTACTTCTACGATACAACCCTCAAATGGCGTTCAGATCAACTGTAGTTAAGCGCAATGCAGTGAAACTGATTGATCTTTTAAATCAACCAATAAATGGCGCCAGCAGACATAATTAATTTTATTTCGAGGGCATTAAAAAAATCTGTGCAACTCTACGAAGTGAACGACGGCTGGTCGGTGGAGCTGTAGGTCCTAAGGTCCGTAATGAGCACGTAGAAGTCGTCGACTAATATAAAGGATGGCCAGATTGACGGACGAACGGATGCACCGACCACTGAACGTATGACAGCATGGTAGGACACATGGATTGCTGGATATGTGGACGGATAGATGGGTGGATGGACGAACAGACGTACGACGAGGGTGGTCACGTATTGTGTTGTCGCATACTTGATTACACATAAAGCCAATTCCTTAACATATGATTTTTTTTGTGTAGGTGTTCCTTTTTGGTTTGTGCTTTGTTGGTTGTGAGGGGAGTCAACTAGGTCTGCTCTAACGAGCTTCGTTCTTGAAATATGGCATCGGCAACATTGACCGAACCAACGCATAGAATAAATATCATGATCCCAGCAAAAACTGAACCCATATTTTGCGTAACAATCAAGTATTCTGCCACCGAGCCACATTAGGTATCGGAACTGTTTTTGAAGTAGACCGTAACGTTCGTGAAATGCCGATCTTGGTTGCAGTGCCGGCTATCCAACCATACGTACGTACTTGTATCTTACAGTTGTCACGTCGAGATAACGGCAATTGTAGTGACGCTACACTGCAAAGAAGCTCATTCATGGAAGCTCATTATTCTAGCAGTGTCTAGGGCCGCCATCCTCGCTGGCACAAGCGCTACATATCAACTGTCAACTTCTGAACACTGGCCACTTTACTGTAGATGATTAAAAACTCAATAAGACCTGGTTCACACAATACATGAAAGACATTTTCTACGTACACAGAGCCTCAGGAGGTATCGCGCCCAGGACGAGGAATGGAGATTTAATTGATAACTTCTTCATTACAGACATGAACTATTTCTAGAAACTAAACTCTACGTCACACTTCAGTGTATTCGGGTCAATTATCACCATATTAACGAATGATTACAAGAACAAATACACTTTCGCTAATGGTGCTCACACTTCACAGGGACGTGGCACAGTCAAGGCGATGTCAACATCCTACTGGACGCGTATTCATGACCCATCGACACTCGGACGTTACAGATGCGTCACAAATGTATGCGTATTCGCTATTTCTGCTCACGTAACTACGATCACGTGCCAATGAAACATTTCAGCCTACCCTAGTTCATGCTGGTAGTGCGTGCAACTAACATCCTTCCGTCTCCATGCTTCGCATAACATATATTTCCAATGTGCGTGGGATCTTCCTTTTTTTCTGCGTATTTTCAAAGGTTTTTGAATGTATGAAAGATGATTCGATTTTTTATATAAAAAGATAAGCATTTCTACTTACATGCGGACGTTGACAGGGTTAGCAGAAGGAGCACAAGCAGGGTATTCATTGTCCCCACACTAAAGAAGCAGCAAAAAAAAAAAAATCAGAAGGCTGAATAAAGTCGATGTTTCGGAGCAAAATCAACTATTTCATATGCAGCCGCGGCTCGCACAAAATCAGCGAACTGCGCTTTTTGAATTGCTTCAGCGTAAGTTTAGCATAAAAGGAGCCTCCTATTTATCTGATATTGACGATGCTGCACAGTAAAAAGTTAAGCAAATCGTTTAAAAGCCCAGTTCAATTTACAATTAGAACTTTGAAAAAAGTCTGAAAAAGTTAGGCTGTTATAATAACTACAAAATTTCGAATATAATTCACAATAACCTCATAAAAACACGTGGCACACCGGTGTAGATTGCCCGCTTGGTTTGCTCAAGAGTCGTTGCCAGATGTTTCAGGTTCGCAACAGCCTTCTTTTATTCTTCGCGGTCACTATCTGCGATACGAATAATGAACGTAGGTGAATGATCCATTTATCAGTATCACGCAATGGCTGTCTGACGTCCGCCACAAAACAATCTTTATTATCGCTGCAGATGCAAGTAATTTTTTTTTTCTTTCAGAGCTGCATAGCCGTGCAAAACTGCGCTGATGCTGATGCTGCGGTGTTTAGTACGCGCAACCATACCATTTTAGTGGCGAAGCTCTTTAAGCCGTGGGTCGTCCGTACGCAATTCATGTAGTAGTAGTAGTAGTAGTAGTAGTAGTAGTAGTAGTAGCAGTAGTAGTAGTGGTAGTAGTAGTAGTAGTAGTAGTAGTAGTTATTGTTGTTGTTGTGTAGTAGTAGTAGTAGTATAAGTAGTAGTAGTAGTAGTTGTTGTTGTTGTTGTTGTGTTGTAGTAGTAGTAGTAGTAGTAGTAGTAGTCGCACTAGTAGGTAGCCACCTCAACGGCCAGACTAGAGAAGCGGCACGCGCGCACTCATTTGAATTGAGGAGGAAACCTGCACACGTTAGTCATAAATAAAAAGATAATTGTTTCTGATGAAATATGCAACAAAGACGAGCATTGGTTACTTAATCTACAGCAAAATTTTACCTCTAATTTGATGCCTAATAATAAAAAAACTAGTATCAGCAGGATGCATTTTGAGCACTATCCGAACAAAAAGGGTTGCGACGTAAAACTCACTGGGCGTAACCTCCTTGGTTTTAGCAAGGTTTAGCGAGGGGTGGGCCGCAGTGCCATGAACTAGCGGCTGTGAAAGGGGGGAACTAGACACTAAGCGCAGGCCGCAAGAAAGTGAGTGCGTGCCACATCTCTAGTCTAGCCAAGCAACCCTCGTTTAGTACTTTGAATGTCCGCTCAATGGTGGCACTTCTATATGACGAATATATGATAAAGAGATGCGAGATGGCGCTACTTGGAGTGTTCACTACATAAACGGATGAGTGGACAGACGCACGGATGGACAGACAGACAGATGCACTGATGGACGAATGGAGGGACTCGCGGACGGACAGACGTATGGACGCATCGATGAACGAACGCACATATGGACAGGCGAACGCGTGGGCGGATGCATAGACGGATGGGAGTACAGACGCACGGACCGACAAATGCATGGACGGAAGAATGGATGGACGCATCGACGGACGCATGGACGCACAAACGGACAGACGTACGGATGGTCACACAGGTGGACAGAAGGAAGCAGGAACGAACGGACGGACTGACAGATGCTTCGCGCCACTCATCATCATGCACTGCGTGGATATGGTGTGATTTATTGTTTTTATTTTGGAATTTTATGTACCACCAGCCATAATAATTCATGGCGTCGAAAATGTATATGCCGATTTCTGTCATGCATGGAGTCTAACAGTCGGTGGCCAAACAATTGCCGAATCCAGCAATCAAGTTCTTGCAGTCGACACGGACTAATACACTTCGCACGGAGTTGTCGGAGACGGCTTTCATCCAAACGTCTAGTGAGCGCCCTCTTTCGAATGATGAACGCGATGCATTCTGATTGGTTGCATAGCTGCGCTATGCAACCAATCACATAGTTATGCGCAGCTATGCAACCAACCACGGTCGCATAGCTGCGCGATGCAACCACGGAAGAAGTTTGACACCGTAAGCCGCCATAAAAACAGCGGTTATTCTAATGGAGTTTTCCGAATGGTACCTTATATTAAGCAAGCAACGTGACTAATAATTGCAATAGGCTACAGGTTGTTGCCTAATCACTGCATGAAGGCGCGCACAAAATGTCGGAAGACGAGACAATGGACTAAGCTTCTCGAAGTGGTGGCCTTTAATAATAAAGGTAGCCTTGGCACTCTTGGCCTCGTAACACTTAGTTTACATCAAAACATAACAGGCCTTGCGACAGAATGTAAGCAAATGCTAGGAATAGCTTCTTTTTCATTTAGAAAGCTGGCGGTATTGCTGCGCAAATATGCACGCCAACAACAAAGTGGCTTCGTTTGTTGGACGGTTCGTAAAGTCGTGGCGAAACGCAACCCGGTGGATCAGCCATGAAACGGATCATACCTTATTTACAAAATAAAACTGTTTTACCAGCCGAACACATTTAGATATGGATCAAGAAAGATATATAGAGGTTTTTAAAGCAAACAAAGAGAGCAAAGTATTTATAATTTCAATTTACCAGAAAATGTGTTGTCTTAGTGCACAGCCACGCGACTATTTTTTTTTTTTTGGCATCGGAAGTGACTTCTATGTGCCCTAATAGGCTTTGCCGACTATCGCCACGAGGCGATACTTCTCTTTTCTTTGATTGTGTGCGGGTGATTGAAGGCAATCAGTGACGTCCCAAAAAGAGTAAAATATGGTGTGAACGTTGTATATCCCCGTTTTCGGTTGTTACAAGACTTGCGAGACAAAGATATTCAATTTTTAAGCATAAAGTTTGCTATTTTTTTGCGTTCATCTCAAAACTAGCACCTGAAAGGGCAGTTGGTAATACCGTTAGAGCATGCTTTTTTGCGCGGTGCTGTCATGTGAGCAAAGGATTTACTTTTAAAGTTTTGCTTCTCCATCACTAACTAAGAGTCATATCAGATTTTCAGTCACACAGCATATATTTTTTCTGCAATGTGCCTTTATTTTGACACCATCCAATGACCCCCTGCGCCACCGCCTCCCTGATCTTGGAGCCCAATAATATAATTTTACTTGTACTGTGCTATTCTTCCTCTAAAATTACGCCTAAATGCATTCGAATCACTAATCACTAAAATTCTGCCTCACTTATTTTCTTCAAAGAAAGTGATCTTTCGCCCCGCCGCGGTGGTCTAGTGGCTAAGGTACTCGGCTGCTGACCCGCAGGTCGCGGGTTCGATTCCCGGCTGCGGCGGCTGCATTTCCGATGGAGGCGGAAATGTTGTAGGCCCGTGTGCTCAGATTTGGGCGCACGTTAAAGAACCCCAGGTGGTCAAAATTTCCGGAGCCCTCCACTACGGCGTCTCTCATAATCATATAGTGGTTTTGGGACGTTAAACCCCACAAATCAATCAAGAAAGTGATCTTTTGGCAAAAGAAAATGAAAATCGCTGACCAAGTTGAAGGAAATTCCTAATTTATGGATACTTATTTACTTAAGCGGTGGCATCTAAGATTACTCCCGCCTATATAAAGCATTGTCGCGCACCCTCGCAGACCATGTGCCACCAACCATCCCTCATTGTACAGAATTCTGCTGCACATTATCATCAAGCATCTTTTTGCTCAATTGCTCAAGACACAAGCTTTTAGACAAGTTGTGCACCGTCAGACGCTTCGGAGTGCACAATAAAACCGTCATATTTATTCACGCAATATATATACAGTAAAAAACAAAAGTGCGTGCATTCTAAGAAAATTTCAGGCATTTTAGACCAAAACGATATATCACAGATCACAGTAAAAGTTAGTACTTAAGCTGGTACAACAAACTTTACCACGTTTTTCGCGGCAAAGAAAAAAATCGGTGTTGGAGCTGTTGCTGCAGCTCGCACGCTGAAGAAACACACAAGAGAGCGAGACACTGAGCATGAGAAGCCCATAAGGGCTAGCCACCGAAGCAACTGGCCATACCTGTGCCAACACGATAACAGCAAGGCCACACCGAGTTAAATGCCTACTTGACTTGGCTTCGCTGCAGTAGACTCTAAATGACCACGTGACTGGCTAAAGCCAAGAAAAGTGTGTCGCCAAGCATACACTTCGACATAGGCAATGCTACGTGTAACTTGCCTCTGGCTTGAGGTCCATTCATTGGTAGTTCAACATTTCAATGCTGGTCTCTTAGAAAACGTACTGCTAACATCATATATAGCCTGTCATGGCATACGCGCCGCAACCGATCAGCCAGCCAGAGTCTGAAAAATCAAACTGTGTGCTGGGGGTAGTCCAAATTTTCGGTCATGTCTTTGCATGAGCTTCAATGTGGCGAACAGTGGGCCACGATGGTGTCTGAAAGAACGAGAATGTCCGAACTTTGGGTTAATAAACAGTGGGTTAATAAATAAATTGAAGTGTGCTGAGGAAGCAGTTCATCTGCAATATGAATATATATTTTTTTTCAAGTAATTGATATGTGAGGTTTAATGTCCCAAAACCACCATATGGTTATGAGAGACACCGTAGTGGAGGGCTCCGGAAATTTCGGCCACCTGGGGTTCTTTAACGTGCACCCAAATCTGAGCACACGGGCATATGACATTTCCGCCTCCATTTCTTTCAAGTAGCAGTAGCTATTTCAAACTTGAATATTGTGTTAGCTGTCCAACGCAACGGTTGATTACAGAGAAAAGTGTGGCGACAACAGCGCACAAACCTGCGCAGCCTCCGTTTCGTCACTGATAAGCCAGGCGTGACACGGCCACTTGCTGCAACACGCTTCCGATAAAGTGCAGTGCCACCACAATATCACCAGAGGTTACGTCACCACTATATAACCCAAGGTAGCTATATAACCCAAGCTGCCAAGCTGGGTTGGATTATTGTTTTTCTAACCGTTACAGCGCAGCATCAGCATGCTCGCCTCGGTGTTGCTAAAGATGTAGTCGATGGTGCAACCAGCGAACCAGAGCCAGCCAAAGTCTCGGGGAGATCTCAACGAGAGAAACCTGGAGGCGTTAACAGTATTTTTTATTCACATTATTTACAGGTATACCGTGTTAATACATGATAGGAGTAGCATCATGGAAGCTCTCAATGAAAGCATAAGATGAGCTTCTTGAAGCTTGTCTGGAGCGTCTCGACACCCCCGTTTTCGCCCTGGCCTTCCTTGAATTCCCTACATGAAAAACAATGTAGGTCGGGACAGTACAATGAAAATGCCATCTCCACCTCCGCTTCCAAAAGGAGAAGGCGAATCACCACTTTCTTTCCAACCCAGGAAAGAAGGAAGAGGTGCACCCAGTTCGTCTCATGGCGAAGGAGAAAAAACTGCGTATACCGCGCACCTCACGGCACAGCACGAAGGCAT